CCCTCACACGTGTCGCGTGCCCATAGGGAGTTCAGAAGGCCCCAGTGGCAGGGTTCGCATGGCACCGCCGCCTCCATTTCGGCAAACCCCTCACACGTTTCGTGTAGGAGTTTCAGCCGAAGGCCACATTGGCAGGGTTCGCATGGCACCGCCGCGTCCACGTTGGCGCACCACTCACACGCTTCGTGGCCCAATAGGGAGCTCCGCCGACGGCCCCAGTGGCAGGGTTCGCATGGCACCATCGCCTCCATTTCGGCGCACTCTCACTCTTTCCGTGGCCCCATCGGGGTCTCCGCCGAAGGCCCCCGTGGCAGGGTTCGCATGGCGCCGCCGCCTCCGTTCTGGCACATTCCTCATACGATCGTGGCCCACAGGGAGCTCCGCCGAAGGCCCCAGTGGCAGGGTTCGCACGGCACCGCCGCCTACATTTCGGCACACCTCTCACACGTTTCGTGGCCCCATAAAAAAGGGGTTTCAACCGAAGGCCCCAGTGGCAGGGTTCGCATGGCACCGCCGCGTCCATGTTGGCGCACCACTCACACGTTTCGTGGCCCCACAGGGGTCTCCACCGAGGGCGATATTCAGAACGGCGGTTCTCACAACAGCATGTGGTTGGGTCTTTTGCCAGGATAATTCGTCGGTCAACGACCCTACTGAAACGGGGGAAAATGAGACTGGCTCGACTGAGACCACGTTCTTCTTCGGGTGGAGGCTTTTGCCTTGTCTTCTTCAAGTTATCACGCTTGTGATGGTGAGCAAGAGGCTTGCACTATTCAGGTAAATTCGCGAGGCGCTTTCCACAAGTGAGCGTTCCGCAGCTCCGACAGCTACACGCAAAAGACTCGCCACTGCAGCCCAGCATCGAGCAACTGTGCCCCGGGTCCCGCAAGCACTGCGGGCGGACTCCGAGGTGCCCGGTGCACCTTCCACCGAGCGGCATTTCGGATGAACGGGACATTCACAGACAGCTCGGGCATTGCCGAAACGTGCGGGACGGCCTCTTTATAAGAGGTCCACCCGCGGGGCTCCC